GCTGGGGTGGGGCGAGAGTAGGCCACAACAATGATAAAAGGGCTGGAACTTCTCTGCTGGGAGCCCAGCAGGAGAGAGCTGGACTTGGTCAGCCTGGAGCAGAGAGGGGTCCAGGAAGACCTTGCAGCCTTCCAGTACTTGTAGGGGGCTTATGAATAGTAACGGGGACAGACTTTTTAACAGGGCCTGTTGACACAGGACAAGGAGTGATGGTTTGAAACTAAAAGGGAGAGATTTAGGCTAGAGAGGAGGAAGAAATGTTTTATACAGGGGATGGTGAGACCCTGGCCTACGCTGCCCAGAGAGGTGGTTAATGCCTCCTCCCTCAAACCGTTCCACGTGAGGTGGGACGGGTCCCTGAGCAACCTGCTCTAGTTGCAGATGTCCCTGCTCACAGTGGGGGGATCGGACTAGATGACCTTTAAAGGTCCCTTCCAACCCAATCTAGTCTGGGGTTTTACAATTTTTCTGATAAATAAACCACACTAAACCAAAGCTAATGGTTGAGACTCCTGTAATCACCTGCAGGAGATGTTGCTGCAGTCCATCAGGTCATGTCCAACAGTCACTTATGAAGTGGAAACACAAGGAGATGTGGCGTGCTCTGGCTGTCCTGGGCTCATGCCTATGTGCACATAAACAGTGCATACACAGGCTGTGCCATGCTCACTGCCACAGTATTTTGAACGGGCTGTCTCACATCCAGAAGTCCTACAGGAGTAGCCCAGTCCCACAGCTTGGCATTCAAACAAAATGTTTGGCTGTAAAACAAAGACATGATTCAGGAGGCGTGGGCATAACAGCCACGTTGTGCTTGTCACCGCCAGCTGGGGAGACCCACAGGTCTCCCAACGTGCTGATTTTTCCCTGGCCTGTACTTCATACAACTGATATGCAACGAAAGATTCATACCTTTGCTTAAGACTGCTGTGACTGATTACCTGACATTTCTATTAATCAGGAATCTGTCTGATTACACCAAAAAATGGAGCTGAATAGTAACTATGCTTTAATTCCTTTCTCTTACACAAACTCCTGGAAGTCTTTGAGGCCACTTAGATAATTTTACAGACTGAAATGATCAGCCTTCTTTTTTATCTTTTATATAAAAGAGGTTTTGATTTATTGGAGCATAAAAACCAGTTGGATCTAGAAAACTTCTCCTGCATATATTAAGTGGAAAATGTCCACCGTTAAAACGCTTACCCTGTCTGAATCTTTTGCACAATGTGTCATGTTTCATCATGGAGTAAATGTGCATGGTTGAGTTACGGACCTGTTAAAATAGGGTTTGTCATGAAAATGCTAACAGAATTTTAACTGAGAGATTGTTAAAATCACCCAGAGATTTAAAGCTGTCCTGCCTGAGTGCTTCTGCCAACTCGGAAGATGTGCACCAAGCACCAGTGACATCTAGTGTACAACGAACGAATTGGAGCTCCCTTTTGCTGGTTTATGTCTTGGGAACCATTATTGCAGGTCTGCAGTCATTCAGAGCTTATCCTTTCAGAATATTTTTTTTAGCAATTTGTTGTTAAGTTTGTTTTATCTCAGCGTTTTTCATTTGACTTTCTTTATCCAGGAGAACCATTGCAGGTGTAAGGGTTTTGGGTTCTGGCATAGCTGTGAATCAGCAGGATCCTCCTCCATCCTTTGGGGTACCTTCTACTTGGATCTTTATAGCTGGTGCCTACTCCTTGGCAGCTTGTGGGACAGTCAATCCTCACTTCAAAAGTGATCCAAGAATCTCTATTTTCCCTTGGAAGTTAAAGCCTTGGCTGATACATTTTTTGCAAATAAAGCCTTGGCTAAAATATTTTTTTTCAAATTTCTGAGGTAAATTTCTTTAACATTCTGTTTGCATTCAAAAAAGAAATAGAAAATCTACTGTCATAGGGGAAAGGAGGTCATTCAATTGGGATTTATATTTGGCTCCTTGTCTTTAACCTACCAGCACTTTAACACTTCAGCACCGCATCAGCAACTGAACATCTTTCACTGGATTTGCATTTTCAGAGGCTGCCTCAATCCTTTGCTTGGTAACTGTGTTGTCCCAAGTTCTTATCAAAGGTGATGCCCAAGCAGAAGATGGGCATTATTATAGGTTGCAAGCAGTGACAGCAGCACAGGGTTCCTGGTTAGCTAATACTCTAGCTTGGCCTAGGACCTAACTCTTAACTATGTCCCTTGCAGGCCTGCTTGAAGCCAGTGTTTTTCTGATAACTAAATAAATTGGCTATTGTTCCTGTAATTAGTAATGTTAGTTAAGATTGTTCTGGTGTCCAGCAGCATTTGGAGAACCCCTGAAGTTTAAATTACAGTTTATTGTAAGCATTAAGTGCTTATCCTTTTAGAAGAGGTATGAAACTCCAGAAGCAATGGCCTGCATCTTCTCAAAGAAGAAAAAAGAGGTAGTTTACAGTAGTCTCCATCTGTGGCCTTTTGTTTGACCTTAAAATGAAACCAATTTGACTTGCAGCAAACAAGTACAGTTGGTGTAGCATATTGTGAAATGTTAGTTTTCCTTGTTACAATTCTCCTGCATTGCTCAGGAATGTTCTTACAGGTTCCACCCAAAAATTTTCATGATGGAGAGAATGCTGTCAGGCAGCCTGAAGCCTGTAAATAAACTCCCTCAGAACGGTGACAAACACTGAGAGGGCCCATCCTTCACCTGACCTGAGGTTCACTCCCACTGCAGATGAGTTCATCTGTTTTCCTTTTGCCATCAAATAGTCATGTTGTAAGAGGAAAGTCTTACTCAAATAATTCAACACATAGCACCAGTATTACAACCAAAGTTGTGCCTTTGTACTCTGCACTGGGGATGCTGCACCCCGAATCCTGGATTCATTTTTGGACCACTCACTCCATGAAGAACATTGAGGGGCTGTACCAGGTCCAGAGAAGGGCAACGAAGCTGGGGAAGAAAGGTCTTAGAAACCAAGTCTGGTGAGGACCATCTGAATGACCTGGGGTTGTTGAGCCTGGAGAAAAGGAGGCTCAGAGGGGAGACATTCTTACTCAACAACTCCCTGAAAGGAGGCTGGAGCCAGGTGGGGTTGAGTCTCTTGTCCCAAGGAATAAGTGATAGGACAAGAGGAAATGGCCTCAAGTTGCACCAGGGTAGGTTAAGGTAGGACGTTAGGAAAAAATGTCTTCCCCACAAGGGTTGTCAAGCCATAGATCAGGCTGCCCAGGGCAGCGGTGGAGTTCCCATTCCCAGAGGGGTTGGGGACAAGCCCACAAGTTGTGTATATGTGGTGGTGAGGGACGTGGTTTAGTGGTGACCAGGCAGTGCTCAGTTAATGGTTGAACATGATGATCTTAAGGATTTCTTTGAACTAAAACGATTCTGTAATTCAGTTCTAAGAAAATGGCCAAACCATGGAGGCTTACTAGACAGAGCAGATGTGAGAATGAGGATCACCATTGATGTAGCTGGAGGGAAGGGGCTGGCCATTAATAAAAACATCGTTTTTCCAAATTCCCTTTCATTTTAATATTGAAAGGGAAACCAAATGGAACAAACTACAGGCTATTCCTCCATCCAAAGAATGTCCTCAAGAAGGTGAGGAAAGTCCTCTAAGTTACTTGATTTTAGAGTGGCATCAAGTTGATCTTTAGGCCTGAGTGGTCTTTAGGGATCTGTGCAGGAGGGTTAATTAGTCCTCTGCAACAGACGGCTGAAGGCAGAAGCACAAAGCCGGCGTTTGCCATGCTGCTCTCAATGGCGTGGAGATCTTTTAACCCCTAGACAGCAGGATAAGCTTCAGCTCACCTCTCCTTTTCATTCATTTGAATTGTGTCCTGATGTTAAGCACCACTGGAGTTATCACTGATACAAGGATTAGAGGGAATTGCTGATACTCTTAAGCACATAAAGAAGAGTTATGTGCTTTATCAGACCACGGTTATTAACCCAGCGATACTGTAATTCCAAGACATTAACTATGAACTTGGCTGTAATAGCTTTCTTCTGTGCCATTGAAGGTTCCTGGATGGCAAACTGCTGGACATCAATAAAGAATTTCAGCCGTACCTGGGGCAGGGGGGACGCATCCTGGAGATCCGCACCCCAGACGTGGTGGCGAACGTCAAGAAGCAGGCGCAGGCTGTAGGCTACACGGAGGGCGCGCTCCTCGCCCTGGCCGTCATCATCATCCTCTGCTGCATGCCCGCTATTTTAATAGTCATGGTCAGCTACAGACAGTAAGTACTCCTCCTCCTTTTTGAGGAAACAACGTTGGAGTAGGGGTGCTACGCTTCTTAGCAGAACTATGTTGAAAATTATCCTTCGTTGCAAGGAAATAATTATACAGGGAAATATTTCTCGTTTCCCTCTTGCCACTGGAGCTGGTCAACTCTTGGTGTGGGCTGCCTCTGAAAGAGGAAGTGCACAGGGAGTGCATCTCGCTACACTTCCTAAAGCTGTGGTGCAGTAACTGTTCTAGGATACGTTCCAACACACGAGGTCAAAAGCCAGGTGTTTGAAATGCAAGTGTAGGTTCAGAGCTCAATTCCCTGCCAAAAACTAAAACCTCACAAATAAACAAAAAGCAGAGGAAAAGGTGCTGCGTCAATAAAGGAATCAAAAATAAAATTGTGTAGCTGGGGCAAAATAAGAGCAGTCAACTTTTTTTGTTTAAATCCTAAAGTACACACTGGTTTGTTTTTCCCCTAGCTATATGCTTCTTAATTGCAAATGCTTCATGAGGAATTGATTTTTGTGTCATTTTAGCGCTATATAAAGCAGCGTACATCTAAGAGAACCTTCTTGATATTTCCACTCACCTCTCATAGACTCAAGAGGTTTAAGTAATTGGGCTAATAGACTAATTAAAGGATCAACATCACTAACAAGTTCCTCTCAACTAAGACTTTTCAGGTCTGCTCAGCTTTAAAATCAGTGCATTTGGACTTAAAGGCTGTTTATGTGTTCTTTCATTTCTTCTCACCAAAAATTTCCAGTTCCACATGCATGCTCTGAGCACTCCAAGAATTGCCAATCATTACAAAATAAAAATAAAATAATTCTCTGCATCTTCCCCAGTAAATGGCCACATTCACATTCTGTAGATATCAATCCGTACCTCCTTTCTGTCTGCATTTTAAAATTGGTGAATTAGCTGGAATGTAGTCTCGCCAACCTCTTAGTTCTTGGTGCTTAATGTACCTTCTTTGAATTATATTTACATCCCAGTTTCTCCAAACAATTTGAGTCAAAGGAAAAAGTCCTTTTAAAGGTGTTTGAAAGAGCTTGACAAACTTCTGTCCTATTGGCAGCGCATCTCAAAACTGCTTTACTTCTCCCCAGGTTGTATATGCAATTTACTTGCAGGAAAATGCTGCAGAACCAGTTCAACCTACAGTTAGGTTATTGTTTCTGAATCCCCTGCTTCTTTTAGAAATCTAATAGCACTATTTTTCCTTGACATCTGTTCGATTATCGAAAGAGCATTAATCTCTTTTAAGAGCTTTAAGGAATCCACCTAACTTCATTTCATAAAAAAACCTTCACATTTTTGTTGTCTAGAACTATGACTGGAGTTGGATTTATAGCAGACCAATGTGAATAAATTATGCTTTAACGACAAGTGTATCACTGAAGGGTGCCAAAGAAAATAAAAGAAATTTTAGTGTTAATATCAACATCAAAAGCTATTCTGAGCCTTGCAGTTTGATTTTGCCTTTTTTCTCCTTTTCAAAAGGAGTTTCAGTATTTTTCCTGGTAACATTCTGGCATATTAGGTGCTCCAGTTTGACACTGAATGTAGAGATTATAGCGGGATAAATGTCAGACTGACGGCACACAGAATCAAAATGTTAAGTTTTTCTCACTGTTGAAACTTCTTATGTGTGTAGGTTCATTTTTCAGAGCTTTCCAGATCAGTGACCAGCTTACTAAATTTTGTAAAAATAATAGTTACTGAAAAAAAATAATTTTATTTATAAAGCGATGGCTGTCAAAGTGCAGCACAGTGCCTTGTAAGCAAGCCAGAAATCATCATCATTCTTTTCTACCAAATAGTGCCCTTGAAATCAAGTCTACCCGGTACAAACCCCATATGGTAACTACAAGTAATGTATTATTTACTATTCACAAAAGACTTGTATCTTCTAAATAGCACCCAAAAATAATGCTTCTTCACTGTTGAAGGTGGGCTCTGTAGCATTCTTGAAGCATGTGAAAATAAGAAAGCCTACCAAAAAATGCATCCCTCATAACGTACCTACCAAAGAAATATCGTGAGGTATATTTATGTTTTCATGCCTTATTCTTTTCTCTGTGTGTGTGGCAGGGAGCTGTTTTCTGTAAGCCCTAAGCAGTTTTCCTCTCTGTAATTCATGTTTGTGCTGACTGCAGAATTGTTTTGAGAGTATCACAAATAGCAGCTAAACAGCTCTGGAAATGATGATTCTTTAAACATGTCATTAATTCTGTAATTTTATGTGTGGAATAATTAAGTAGCATCGAATTTATGACTCCTGTTAGGTTCACTCTTTAGGACAGTTGTTGCCAATGGAATTCATTTAACCTTCCTTTTTATCTCTTTATCTTTTTTTGCATAACAAAACAGATTCAAAGAGTAAGTACTTATTTTCAGCTTTGTTTCTAAGAACTTGTAGAGAAATACTGATAAGCTACCAGTCTCTATTTTTAAGAAGAAAGGGTACTTGACATTCAGTAAGAGTTATTTCCTATCCTCCAGCTTGCTCCTGAACACACTCTACGGCGAGGTTATGTTACTCATATGGTTGCTCCATGCGCTTAACTGTTGCATGCTTGCACACGTTAAACATGCCATGGTTCAAGACGTTGCATGTTTTCTGCAGAGAAAAAAAGAGAAATATTTGTGTGTGTATGGTATTCTTCAAGCAAGCAAGTGCAGGTCAGGCTACAATGTGTAGAGAGACATCCCTAGAAAGGACAAGGGGGCAGCCACCCTCAAACCAAAGTGAGGTCAGGCATGTTACCTCAGTTACACACATGAGAGATCACTGGCTTTGTTTTCTAGGTAGAAAACAGAAATTTGTTTTTTAGTGAATTTGCCCATTTAAAAAAAGTAATTTTTTTGGGAAAACTGGTCATTGAGACAACCCTAATGAGAAAGTCTAAGTGATAAAACTTTGCCAGAGACTTTTTTGGTGTTTAAAATGACAGTTTCTTGGCACTTGTATGAAGTACCTGACCAAAGAGCTTACGCTCTCCATTGTTGGTCCTGGGCAACCAGAGCAGTGTCAGAGTTGGCACTCCATGATTTCCTGGGAAATACCTGCTGTCAGTGATGCATTGCTGGTCGGGAGGCTTGCAGCTGGGGGGAGCTCTAGAATTCCCCCAGGAGAGAACAAATAACAGAGAGCTGAAAAAGCCAGGAGAAGATTGTCACTTTATTACTTTGAAGAAGACAAAGCACAGGGACGTTTTGAGAACTGCAGGAAAAAAATGTAGACAACTTAGAAAACTTTACATCTTGGCTTACACCTGGGTATAGAGTGTTCCTAATGAGTACTTCTCCTTCCCTGTGTGGTTTACCAAAGGCGACAGGCTGAATGCGCAAAGACCGCCAGAATCCAGATGGCTCTGCCAGCAGGCAAACCAGCAAGCGCCGCTGCCAATAACCTCTACGAAGAGCTTGGTGACAGCACCATGTGAGTATTCTTGTGACACATTGATAAAATCATTAGTGACCAAAGCCTTGACTCGCTTTTCAGGAGCATCACTTCATGCAGTCTGTGTCAAAAAGGCTTTTCTTCACAAAAGGTCTTCCCCCAGCTGCTTGAGGTTTTCAAACATTCATAAAATAAATAGGATGACTCTATAAGGAGAGAAAAAACAATTTAACCTGCTAAGTTGCCAAAAAAGCAGGGCATAAAAAGATGTTTTTTCCTAGAGCAAGAGCCTACAGCAGGCCATTACTACCAGGGCAAGCCCAGACTGGATTCCTTTTGTGCCATTGCAAACCCAAGCCAGCATGCCACATTTGTCATGTAGCTGTTGACTAAACAGGTCCAATGAAATTGCTGCCCCAAAGTCTCCATTTCATAGAATCATTAAGGTTGGAAAAGATCTCTAAGGTCATCAAGTCCAACAATAAACCCAGCACTAGCATGACAACTAAACCATGTCCCAGAGTAGCACATCTACACATTACACCTCCAGGGATGGTGACTCCACCACCTCCTTGGGCAGCCTGTTCCAATTTGCTAGAGTAAGAAATATTCTGTTGGATAAAGTGGGCTTTCTTTTTCATTCCAAATTTGAAGCTGTTTGAATATCGAAATTAAAGATAAAGGAACTATCAAAGTAGAGAAACCACTGAAAGTTCCATCAATATATCCTTTATGTATTATATGCTTGTAAAATAAGAATATTACCAAGCTGCCTACCTTTTCATGCTTCTATTTATGGACTCCAACAGCAATTTAACTCTCAGAATAAATATATTACAGCAGAGAATATCCAGTTGGTATTTGTCTCATAGGGGGGGGGGGGGGGTTTGATAAGCTTGCTACACTTCCTCATCTACAGTTATATTTTAAAACCAAGGAACGCAGAAAGGCAGAGCATTAATGACATGTTTGGAAACTGGTAGAGAAAGTGCCGCTGGTGGTGTTGAGGATTACCCAGCTTCTGCTCTTTTTTCAATCATTAGTTGTTTTACTCAGAAAGTTAAAATGTTCTAGAAGCTGTGATTGAGTAGATAAAATGTCAAGGAGGCCTGACAGAGTATCACTGCGGCTTTAGCTGTTGGCCAGCAGAGCGCAGCCTCTGTGCTAGAACTCATTCCAGAGCCTGAGCTTTTCTCTGCAACTAGAGTGATGCTTGAAGGAAGAACAGCTTCTCCTGAAGGCTGAATTTCCTCCTGTGCCCTTGACCTTTGTGGAATGTTAGTGCTTGGGCAGAAAGGGAGGAAAAACTTCTTTGGCAGTAGTATTTACTCACATTTTTGAATGTGAACACTTTTGCTGGTGAACCACACGAGATCACAGCTCTGTACATACTCACACATACAGTGAGAAAATTCCTGTTTGTTTTGCATTTACCTCAGTTTCTCCTGAAATAAATGGTTCAATTAATGATTCACTTCTATTGGTTTTTCTGGCAATGATAGAAAGCTGATGATCTGCGGGAACTGGATATCCCAGTGGATGTATCTGTGTTTTTTCCTGATGAAAAGGACCTTATACTAAACCTGCAAAGATTTCCTTTCATGTTTTACTGCTGAAACATACAGGTGCAAATTTACATATTTACAGTATTCCCCTCGAGGCTTAGATTTATGTTCATTTTGACACAAAACAGTTTTCATTGGAACAGAGAAGTTGCTATATTTGAAATACTTTCTCTCAGCTGTCTTTGCAAGAAGCTAAACTATACTGGTAACCATCACGCTAAGGAACTGATTAAACATAACGCAGTAAAAGTCTTTAGAGGCTAAGTGAAAATCCTTAGGATTTTAAAGACAATACTATGCTTCTATAAAAAGAATCACAAGTTATCTTATTTTTAGTGTCAAATATTTGATTTCAAGGCACTCATGTACCTTAGGAAATCATTCATTAGGAAATACCTTTTATTAACATTTTTTGTGAATTTTAGCACAAAGATTTCTTGTCTTTAGTTGTCCTTAGTCATCTTTCATTTGTGATGCTGCCTTGTGGCATGTTTTCTTAATTTGATGTTTGTAGCAAATGACATGGAACTATGCTCTTTAGTTTTAAATCTGCCTTGTCTCATCATTTGCATTTTTCTCTGTCTTTGGATACATAGGCATCAGTAAGTAAGCTCATTTCATTGTCTTAATATTTGTAGCTAGTAGGAGCACTAGTTAATTTTCCTTTCAGTTAATTCCCATTAAACCTTGCAGTCTGAAACTCATGTTTGATTTGTCCATTGATTGAGTACAGGAAAGACATTTACTGTGAAGTTTCAATACTTCTATGCTTCTTTATCCTTCTTGGGGAAGTGGAGATGAAGTATGATTGCTGAACTTGAGACGTATTATTTCTAAAGCCAAATTGTCTTACTACCTTACAAAACCTAAGCAAAACCAATGCTGAGTGTACACCCAGAGGTTTGCCTTCAGTTTGTGGACTTAGGATTTCACAATTGGAAGCAAGCAAAATCTTTTTTGTCTGCTATTTATAATTCCTGATGAGCTGATGTTTAATTGATTAAAACACTGATAAATAAACTGAAAGATACTGCAGGGTAACCTCATCCTTGTGAAGCATCATGTGAAACAAAGAAGGAACAGAGAAGCTTTGGAAATAATGCTGTTCCCATAGCATAAAGGTTATGTCATCTTGCACGAACCTTCTACTGAGTTTCCTTCAAGTTCAGAATCATTTCTTTCTTTCACCTCTAAATAGGTGGAGGGTACTTGACCAACCTCAAAGCATGCTGCTTTAAAACAAAGAATTTATTATAAATCAGTTATTTTTCATTGTTAGGTTCTGCTCAAAGGCAAGCCTCAGACATATTGTTTTTTGAAGGACCACAGTGCTTGGGGAGAGTTTGTTCATCAGTATAACCCTTCGTGGCTTTGTTGGGTGTTGTTCACAAGTGGGAGAGTGGCCTCTCTGCTCTGTGCAGTGACTCTTCTCATCAGTCCTCTCAGGTCCCTGTAACCCATAGGATGTTTGTGAGGGTGGTCTCCCAAACAAAACAAGAAACACAAGTTGAGAAGCTGTGTTTTATTACTAAATACATGCCTTAGGGGGACTTCTACATATTAGATAACTTAGAGGAGATTCAATATTTCTTAATTAACTCCTCTCCAGTATCTAGTTACTTAAATTTCTCTTCCAGTTTTGCTAGGGAATATTTAATTAGCAGAGATTAAATTTCCAATTAGTTTAGATTTGGTAATAATTTCTGAGATATGAAAAATCAACACCAAAAAAGATGCAACAATGTGACCAAGAGGTCTAAAACTTCATCTTCCAACATGCACATAATCATAGAAAATTTTTCGCTTGTTCCTCTGTTGATAAAGCTTAACCTTTTAAATCTACATTCTGAAGAATATAACAAATTTTGGTAGAGACAAGACTTAGAATTTTTAGCCCAGAAGGTTTTGTGAAAATATTGGGCAGCTCTTAGCTGCTAAAAATAGTCTTATATGGCTTTTCGATTTGTGTGTTTGTTAGAAGTCATTGCTACTCATGCTCTACTTTAGCTGCAGTCACTTAACTGCAGAAAACAAGAAGATTTTGAGTATGACACCCGAACTGTGGAATACCAGTGTGAGGCAGGGAACTTCTGAGTGAATTGTACAGAAGCGGAATTCAGTCTTTTATACCCCATTTCTACCATAATGTTCGCTGACACTATCATGTTCTTACCACAGCCTGTCTTACAGATATATCTAATATATCAGAGAGCTTTTTAGGGTAGGTGTCCTAAGAGTGGGGTTTTGGGTTTTTTGCATCCCCACGCTAGTCAGCGTGCCTGTTTAGTTGCAGCAAATTTGTATATGGCAGCAATGGAAATGCATTTTGATTTGAACACGTTGCTGATGATGGTAATTTTCTCTTTGAAATTTATGGATGGTAATTTATCCTTTGAAAGGATAAGGGGTTTGTTTTTAGGTCTGACATTGACCAGTATCTTAAATCTGGGGGAAATATATTTATTTTCACCCTCAGGTGAGCATTATTTAAAATGAAGCTCTAAGGGCACACTTCTCTAGCCAGCAGTTTGGGGATATTGAATTTAAAATAACATTTATCTTAATATCTGCTCAGAAGTTTGTGGTATTAAAAATATTTGAGGAAGGTAGGTTAGTGAGGTGCTCAGAGATGCTAGGTGAATTCCAGAAAATTATGAGACCTCCTCCTTTTGGTGTTGAAATTCAGAGTAATCCAGCTGCAGAGTTTTTTTCATTTGGCTTCACATGGTGCAGAAATTAAATTCATACAGATATTGATACTTCTGCATCAGTACGTGTGTCATAAAGAAACAAGAAACAATGGCCAGCTTGGTGTAATGCTTTAAGAATTGTTGTCAGGAGAATGGTCCGAGTCTGACAAACTTGTCAGCCAATTGACTTCAGCCTCACAGGGACCTTTAGGGGTCTACACTTCAGGAGTGCCTAGCTGCACCTCTGGCTCCTCCTGGGGCCGTGGTTTCAGGCTCAGCTCAAAAACACAGTTCTCATTTTCTGTGTTCTTCTGTGAAGGCCCATCCTTCAAAGCCAATGCAGGTACACTTCATGCTGTGCTTTATTGATAAGCAGAGTTTTGGTGCACAGTTATTCTAGAATGAATAGGTTTAATGCAGGAACCCCTGTGAATGTTCTATTGGCTGTGTGCAACATGACATAGTGCCACATACAAACAGTAAATACCACAAGTCTGTATAATCTCACAGAGAAAATGAATCACATTATGTAGCAACTGATGTTTGGTGTCAGTGGGAAGATAGCGTACAGCCTGACCGACCGTTTTGCAATCTAAGGGTTTGGTTTTGCTGTTTGTTTTGGGTTTTTTGTTGTTGTTGTTTGTTTTTTTTTAAGAAGACCTTCCCTTATTTTTGTACTTGTCAAGTAGTTGAACACTTGTTTTAAATTCTTCTTCCTCCCCAAGTCCCTCTTCCTTAAAGAAGATGTAAAAGTAAATGTCTTGCCCAGTAGTCTAGTAAATGT